GTGGCTCACGCCTGTAATCCCAGCACTTTGGGAGGCCGAGGCGGGTGGATCACGAGGTCAAGAGATCGAGACCCTCCTGGTCAACATGGTGAAACCCCGTCTCTACTAAAAATACAAAAATTCAGCTGGGCATGGTGGCGTGTGCCTGTAATCCCAGCGACTCAGGAGGCTGGGGCAGGAGAATTGCCTGAACCCCGGAGGCGGAGGTTGCAGTGAGCCGAGATCGCGCCATTGCACTCCAGCCTGTGTAACAAGAGCGAAACTCCGTCTCAAAAAAAAAAAAAAAAAAAATTAATATCCCTTTTAATAAACTCATTTACATACACACATGTATATGTTTTATGTGTGTATGTGTGTGTGTGTGTGTGTATGTGTATATAATTTTTTTTTTTTTTTAGAGACAGGGTTTCACCATGTTGGCCAAGCTGGTCTCAAACTCCTGGCCTCAAGTGATCCACCCACCTCAGCCTTCCAAAGTGCTCTGATTACAGGTGTGAGCCACGGCGCCTGGCCAATTTTTTTTTTTTTTTTTTAGATGAAATTTTGCTCTTGTTGCCCAGGCTGGAGTGCAATGGCGTGATCTCAGCTCACCACAACATTCACCTCCCAGGTTCAAGCAATTCCCTTGCCTCAGCCTCCTGAGTAGCTAGGATTACAGGTGTGTGCCACCATGCCCTGCTAATTTTTGTATTTTTAGTAGAGATGGGGTTTCTCCATGTTGGCCAGGCTAGTCTTGAACTCCTGACCTCACGTGATATGCCCACCTCAGCCTCCCAAAGTGCTGGGATTACAGGCGTGAGCCACCGCGCCCGGCCTAATTTTTTTTTTTTTTCTTTTTTTTTTTTTTTTTTTTTGAGATGGAGTTTCGCTCTTGTTACCCAGGCTGGAGTGCAATGGTGCGATCTCGGCTCACCGCAACCTCCGCCTCCTGGGTTCAGGCAATTCTCCTGCCTCAGCCTCCTGAGTAGCTGGGATTACAGGCACACACCACCATGCCCAGCTAATTTTTTGTATTTTTAGTAGAGATGGGGTTTCACCATGTTGACCAGGATGGTCTCGATCTCTTGACCTCGTGATCCACCCGCCTCGGACTCCCAAAGTGCTGGGATTACAGGCTTGAGCCACCGCGCCCAGCCTAATTTTTGTATTTTTAATAGAGACAGGGTTTCACCATCTTGGCCAGGCTGGTCTTAAACGCCTGACCTCGTGATCCACCCACCTCAGTCTCCCAAAGTGCTGGGATTTACAGGCATCGGCCAGCATGCCCAGCCAATTTTTTAAAAAATAGAGAAGGATCTAGCTATATTGAGCAGTCTGGTCTCAGATTCCTGATCTCAAGAGATTCTCTCACATTGTCCTCCCAACGAGTTAGGATTAGAAGCACAAACCACTGTGCCAGGCCAAACTAGATAAATGTGAAGGGAAAGTCTCATGCCTGATGCATGGATCACACAGAATGTTCACCAAACTGCATCCAGAAGAATGAGGTACACAGATAACTGGAAGGTGAACAAGGAGGAGAGGAGCTTCACTGAGTGGCAGAACAGCTCTCAGGAGACCCAAAGTGAGCAGCTCCTTTCAATAGGCAGGTCCTCCCGACGAGCTGAGGAGGTCCGATGTGGACAGACCCTTCCCACAGTCGGCAGTCCTGACGTCCCTATGAGTATGGCTGAGTCTGGGGTTTTTATGGGCTTCAGAAGGGATAAACTGCGTGCCTGCTGGTCCATGGGCAGCCGTGGGTGGGCCTCAAAAAAGCATCATAAATTCTCATTCTGGGCAGCAGACTCCACCCAGAAGTGGCAGCCCAGCCCCCATCTTTCAGGCTGTCCCTGGCTTGAAGGTGGGTCTTCACTGGACACCCACCCATTTCCACCCAGGAGCCTGTCTGCCTCTTGCTGCCATCAATTATTCCATCCACAGGCCGCCGCCTGTTCGGCCCAAGGCTCACCTGCAGGACTGGTGATGGTATAATTGACGTTTCACAATCGATAGCTTCTGCTGGTAACTTCACAAAACCTAAGAGAGCTTTAGTACCTATTGGTTAAATAAGGTACTAAATAAGTCTGTCGATACTATATGCTGTACCTGGATAAATTCCTCTGGGAACACTGAGACCCATTAACACAGAATAAGAAAACAGGCACATGGGCCAGGCACAGTAGCTCATGCCTGTAATCCCAGAACCTTGGGAGGCCAAGGCGGGCAGATCACGAGGTCAGGAGCTGAGGACCATGCTGGCCAACATGGTGAAACCCCGTCTCTACTAAAACACACACAAAAAATTAGCTGGGTTTGATGGCACACGCCTGTAGTCCCAGCTACTTGGGAGGCTGAGGCAGGGGAATCACTTGAACCTGGGAGACGGAGGCTGCAGTGAGCTGAGATCATGCCCCTGCACTCCAGCCTGGTGACGGAGTGAGACTCCGTCTCAAAAACAAAAGAAAAAAAGAAAACGGGAACATGGGGTACAAATCTCACCTAATTCCCTGTGGCCACTTGATTTATTCAATTGGTTTCCTTTCATTTCCAATCTTCTTTTTCTGAGATGGAGTCTTGCTGTCACCCAGGCTGCTGTGCAGTGGTGTGAACTCAGCTCACTGCAGCCTCCACTGCCCAGGGTCAAGCAATTCTACTGTCTCAACCTCCTGAGTAGCTGGGACTACAGGCACATGCCACCACCCCCGGCTAATTTTTTTTTTTTTTTTTGAGACAGAGTCTCACTCTGTCACCATGCTGAAGTGCAGTGGATCGATCTCTCCCAAAATGCTGGGATTACCTCCGCCTTCCAGGTTGTAGTTTTTTTTTTTGAGAGAGAGTCTTGCTCTGTCACCCAGGCTGGAGCGCAGTGGTGTGATCTCGGCTCACTGCAACCTCCGCCTCCCGGGTTCAAGCAATTCTCCTGTTCAGCCTCCTGAGAAGCTGAGATTACAGATGCCTGCCACTACACCTAATTTTTGTACTTTTACTATAGACGGGGTTTCAGCATCTTGGCCAGGCTGGTCTTGAACTCCTGACCTTGTGATCCACCCATCTCAGCCTCCCGAAGTGCTGGGATTGCAGGACTGAGCCACCGCACCGTGACAAATTTCTATATTTTTATCGTTTATTTATTTATTTTTGAGACCAAGTTTCACTCGTTTCCCAGGCTGGAGTACAGTGGTGCAATCTTGGCTCACTGCATCCTCCCACTCCTGGGTTCAAGTGATTCTCCTGCCTCAGCCTCCCAAGTAGCTGGGACTATAGGCACCCGCCACTATGTCCAGTTAATTTTTCGTATTTTTAGTAGGAACGGGGTTTCACCATGTTAGCCAGGCTGGTCTTGAACTCCTGACCTTACATGATCTGCCCACCTCAGCCTCCGAAAGTGCTGAGGTTCCAGGCATGAGCTACCCTGCCCTGCCTTTTACCTTTTTTTTTGTTTTCGAATCATCATTATTTTGCTTTCCCTTAAGCCTAGGTTCATGGGCCAAAACCAATATGCAAACAGGGATAACATATTCCTAATATTTTCCCCTTTAAACTTGTTCATTGTAATATTTTGCAAAACTACAATTTCTAACAGAATAATGGTGACACAGCACTTTGAGGTGAAAGAAGACTACGGAAGTGACAAAAATTGAAGTTAATAGTGGACTCCGGTAGACTTAGCCTGACAGCCACAGTCTCAAACCTCCTTTGCTGCTCAAATATGGTAAAAAGGTTTTTGCCAATGACTGCCAGCAGCCTCTCTCTCCAGCGTGGGACCAGGCCAACTACCTGGCACAAGTTCATCCCAGCACGGGACTTTCCAAGCCTAACTACAGGATGATTGACCAGTGATGCATGTGAGCTCTTTTTGAGAGAGAGCTCAATCAAAAGGGGAAAACACCCAAGTTGTCCAAATAAAAGTGGACTCACTTATTTCAAATACTCTGACAAATACAGCTTGGAAAAGGCCATGAAGGGAGAATCCTCATGAATAACTAACAAAAGCTATCACGAGATTCTGCACAAACCACAACCTTGCAGTAAGGCAACCTTACACAAAAGACACTTCGGCAAGGACATCTGCCCAGCAACTGCCTGTTAGTGCTCTTTGTCGCAACGTTATTTCCAAAGCATTGTCTTCCTCTTCAGTTTTCCTTTAAAAATCATCGTCTTTCGGGCTGGTGTGGTGGCTCACGCTTGTAATCCCAGCACTTTGGGAGGCCGAGGCAGGTGGATCACCTGAGGTCAGGAGTTCGAGACCAGCCTGACCAATATTGTGAAACCCCGTCTCTTTAAAAAAAAAAAAAAAAAAAATCGTCTTTACTTTCCAGAGTGCGCAAATCGTTGACTATTATGGCACGCATATTCGCCAGCGCCCTATTCCCAAATAAATACGATTTTCAGTTAGCCCCTCTGCCTTAGGTTGACAATCATCATCATTCCTCTGCTCTCCGTGGCGCCCCCACAAAAATCGCCAACCCACCGCCCGCTGCGGCACGGCTGCCTCGGGGGAGACAGGCGTAGCCGGGGAGTCACAGGGCGCGTTGACTCGATTTTCTGTAACTTCATCCAAATCGCATCCAGCCGGCGGGCTCTCCAAGGAAGCCGAGGCGAGGAAGGCCCTCGTCGGCGCGCACTCCCAAGCGGGTGTGTCGCCGGTCGGCCCGCTCCCGGCCACGTTCAACGCTGAAGGGCTCTCATCAAAGAGCGACCGTCAGGCTGCGGGAATCCTGTGGGTCTCGGGGACAGCGGAGGGAACGGGTCTACCGAAGCGCGACGACTCGGCGGGCAGCAGGAGCGAGAACGACGGACCCCAGGGGACCGAGGGGCCGCACTGCCCCGTCTGCATCGTCCCGGGAGACCAGACGCCCGGCGCTTCGCCTCTTTCCCAGCGGCGGCGGCGGCGACACCCTGTGACGTCGCGGGCGTTCGGCGCGGCGCTTGCGTCACACTACGCCTGCGTCACACAAGCGCCGGCGCGGGGCGCCGTGACGCTCAGCCGCGCCCTCCGGAGCGCGGGTCTCTGCTGCGGACGCCGGGGGCCGGCGCGCCGTGGGCCGCCCCCGGCCTCGGCGAGTGTAGCGAGCCTGCAGGCCAGTGCCTGCCCGCCGTCCGCGGCCCGGCGCTCGGGCTGGGCGGGGAGGCCGCCGCGCAGACGCCGCCCGCTGCACCGCCGCTTCCGCGTCGCCGGCTTCCGGCCGCTGCGGCCGCCATTTTGCTCGCGCGGAAGCGCCGCGGTGGGGTGGGAGCCCGAGCGGGAGCCCCGCGGGCTGTGCGGCCGCCGCCATGCCGTCGTCCCCGCTGCGGGTGGCGGTGGTGTGCTCGAGCAACCAGAACCGGAGCATGGAGGCGCACAACATCCTCAGGTAGTTGGGCTCCGCCCTGGCCCCGCGCGCTCAGCCCCGGCGACCGGCCCGCCCTCCTCCCCGGTTCCCCCTGGCCCGCGCCGGGCGCCCTGGGAGGAAGGTGGGCCTGGCCGCGCTCGGGGGTCGGCTGGTGGGGATGGCAGCGGGACGGCGGCGCGCGGCGCCCACACGCGGGCGGACATCGCAGGGAGGGCAGGTTCCGGGACGAGGCGTCCGCTGCCGGGCGTCCTCCGAGCTCCCCGGGGCGGGGCCGGGCCGGGGGCGAGGGTAGCGGCCGAGGTGAGGGGCTGCGCGTCGGCGGCCCATCCTGGTATTTCGCGTGCGGCGCTGGTCGCCTTTGCTGGAAACGCGCACAACGTGACCTCGGCATAGAACGGTGTTGGAAATAACAAAGCGGTCTGTCTTTTAGTGCCATGGATTTGTGTGCTTGCTACTTCTTGTTTTCTTTTGCAAAAGATTCTCTTCCTCCCTGGAAGGCCTCCGACCGGTAGTTTCTGGAATACCACGTGGACTCGGTTTGGCTTTGCTAGTTCGTATTCGCTGCTAACTGGCCGCCTGTGGCCCTTGCGAAGCCTATGTCTGATGAAGGCTTATTCCTGTTTGATACAACTTCTTCGTTCAGTCACATAGCAAAATCACAAACTTACCACCTGAGTTACAGTTCGAATTTGGGATGTGTGTCAGCTTTGCTAGTAAGAGAAAATTGAAACGGCTTTTACCCCACAGTGTTACCTACATGAACTTTAAAGGAAAACACCATCTCGCTTCTCTTACCACAGTCCAACTTTAACTTTTCTGAGTAATGTGGGAAAATTGGCATCCCTCTCTTTGGTTCACGCCTGTTATCCCAGCACTTTGGGAGGCCAAGGCGGGCGGATCACCCGACATCTGGAGTTCGAGACCAACCTGGCCAACTTGGTGAAACTCCGTCTTTACGGCCGGGTGTGGCCAACATGGTATAACCCCTTCTGTACTAAAAATGCAAAATTTAGCTGGGTGTGGTGGGGCGTGGCTGTAATCCCAACTACTGAGGAGGCTGAGGCAGGAGAATCGCTTGAACCCTGGAAGCGGAAGTTGCAGTGAACCGAGATCATGTCATTGCACTCCAGCCTGGGCGACAGAGTGAGACTGCCTCAAAAAAACAAAAAACAGTGTCAGGTGTTCATAATCTGCTGATGCTCTTCTTAATTCTTTCTAATGTCTACATTGTCCACAGTATTTGCCTAGTTTTTTATTTTTATTTTTTATTTTTATTTATTTATTTTTTTGAGACGGAGTTTCGCTCTTGTTACCCAGGCTGGAGTGCAATGGCGCGATCTCGGCTCACTGCAACCTCCGCCTCCCGGGTTCAGGCAATTCTCCTGCCTCAGCCTCCTGAGTAGCTGGGATTACAAGCACGCGCCACCATGCCCAGCTAATTTTTTGTGTTTTTAGTAGAGACGGGGTTTCACCATGTTGACCAGGATGGTCTCGATCTCTCGACCTCGTGATCTACCCGCCTCGGCCTCCCAAAGTGCTGGAATTACAGGCGTGAGCCACCGCGCCCGGCCTATATTTTAATTTTTTTTAGTAGACTATATGCTTTGAACTTAACAAATTAGTATGAAGGTTTTTGTTTTTGTCTTTGTTTTTGTTTTTTGGAGACGGAGTCTCGCTCTGTCACCCAGGCTGGAGTGCAGTGGCGCGATCTTCTGCTCACTGCGACCTCCACCTCCCAGGTTCAAGCAATTCTCCTGCCTCAGCCTCCCGAGTAGCTGGGATTACAGGCACCACCGTGCCTAATCTTTTTAGTTTTAGTAGAGACAGGTTTTCTCCATGTTGGTCAGGCTTGGTCTCAAGCTCCTGACCTTGTGATCCACCTGCCTCAGCCTCCCAAAGTGCTGGGATTACAGGCGTGAGCCACCACGCCCAGCCCATCAGCTGTCTTTTTATTGCCATGAGGTCTTTTTATTTTTGTTATTCTTACAAATAATTTTCTATAATACCCTGGGGCAAACGGAAGAATTTAGCAGCCAAATTTGGGGGCTGGGGGGGGTTCCTGCAGAGACCCACAGGCCAGTGGCATCAGTGCGTAGTGCCTTGGTTCACAGTGCAGCTTGTGGCATCAGCGCACAGAGAGTGCTGGGGTTCACAGTGCAGCTTGTGGCTCGTGTCCATCTTGTAGGTGGTTCTTCCTCCACATCATGACTCAGGTCTGGATGCTGATGAGGGCAAGAGGCACTCCAGCCTCTTAGGAAGCATCACTCCATTTCTCCTGCTCAGTGGTCTCTGGACAGCAGGGTGTTCTTATGTCTCTGTTGTCTTTAGCTTGGCCTATTGAAGTTGGAATTTGTATATGTTGTTATTTTCACATCTTTTTGTTTGTTTTCGATGCTAGGGTAAGGCACGATTATAGCTCATCATTTCAGCCTTGAATATCTGGACTGAAACGATCCTCTGGAGTTCGAGCCTCCCAAAGTATTTGGATTACAGGCGTGAGGCACTGTACCCAGACTACTTTTGCTTTTGAAAATTACCTATGTTGCCGGGCGCGGTGGCTCAAGCCTGTAATCCCAGCACTTTGGGAGGCCGAGGCGGGTGGATCACGAGGTCAAGAGATCGAGACCATCCTGGTCAACAAGGTGAAACCCCGTCTCTACTAAACATACAAAATTTAGCTGGGCATGATGGTGCATGCCTGTAGTCCCAGCTACTCGGGAGGCTGAGGCCGGAGAATTGCTTGAACCCAGGAGGCGGAGGTTGCGGTGAGCCGAGATCGCACCATTGCACTCCAGCCTGGGCAACAACAGCAAAACTCCGTCTCAAAAAAAGAAAAAAAAAAAGAAAATTACCTATGTATGTGCTTTGTCTATTCGTTTGGGTTTATTTAGAGGGTTTTAAAACTTATTTAGGAAATCTGTGTGATAGTGTTTTTCTGTTACAAGCTCGGAAAGCTTGCGAAAGTCAGAGACTTTTAGGCCTAACCGATGTTTGTGAAAAGCATAGAAAATTCTTGTGATAAGTGAAAAAAGCAGGAAAAATGTAGATGCAGTTGGGTATGGTTACATGAAACTACAGGAAGCTACAGTAACATTGTCACCAGGAACTGTAGTTAACAGAACACACACAGTAGCTAGTTGATCAGTGATTCGCCCCTTTTAAAAATGTTGGGTCTGGCAAGGTGGCTCTTCTATCTATAGTCTTAGCACTTTGGGAGGCTGAGGAAGGAGGAATCCTTGAGTCCAGAAGTTTCAGCCCTGGGCAACACAGGGGGGGCCTCCCCCCCTCCATTATTACAAACATTTAAAAAATTGGCCACGTGTGGTTGCATATGTCTATAGTTCCAGCTACTTGGGAGACGGGGCTTCAAGATCACGTGAGCCCCAGAGGTTGAGGCTGCAGTGAGCTGTGATTGCACTACTGAACTGCCTGGACGACAGAGCAAGTCCCTGTCTATAAAAATAGAAAAATAATAAAAATTTACCCTATTGAAAATTAGCGGCTGGGCATGGCGGCTCACGCCTGTAATCCCAGCACTTTGGGAGGCTGAGGCAGGCGGATCACAAGGTCAAGAGATTCAGACCATCCTGGTCAACATGGCGAAACCCTGTATCTACTAAAAATATAAAAATTAGCCTGTCATGGTGGTGGGCGCCTGTTGTCCCAGCTACGCGGGAGACTGAGGTAGGAGAATCGCTTGAACCTGGGAGGCAGAGGCTGTAGTGAGCGGAGATCACCTACCACTACACTCCAGCCTGGGTGAGAGTGAGACTCCGTTTCAAAAAAACAAAACAAAACAAAATGAGCTTGGCCTGTATTTTCCTGACAGATGCCGGTGATGATAAGTGTTGACATCATAGTGTCCTCTGGGGTGATCATCTTTGATATTTGAGGCTCACTTATTTCAAACCCCAGTCCTGGGAGGCCTTACATTTTGGGGGGGTCCGGGAGGCTCTGCTGTGCATTTCCACAGTGCCTCCTGCGCTTCGTGCTCCAAGGATTCACGTGTCCCCTGGGAACCACTTAGGTGTGTGTTTTTTTTTTTTTTTTTTTTTTGAGATGGAGTCTCGCTCTGTTGCCCAGGCTGGAGTGCAGTGGCGCGATCTCGTCTCACTACAACCTCTGCCTCCTGGGTTCAGGCGATTCTCCTGCCTCAGCCTCCCGAGTAGCTGGAATTACAAGCACGCACCACCACGCCCGGCTAATTTTTGTATTTTTAGTAGAGACGGGGTTTCATTAATGTTGGTTAGGTTAGTCCTGACCTCCTAGTCCGCCCACCTCGGCCTCCCACAGTGCTGGGGTTGCAGGCGTGAGCCACCACGCCCGGCTATTTTTTTAATGTCAGACTATCTTCTAGATGTTACGGCATGTGTTAGTTTTTGGAAGCTGTGTTTTTAATTGTAGCAACTCTAAACAAGTTGTTGTAAGAGACTTTTAGAAAGTACTGGACTGATTTCTGTCAGTTTTCAATCATAACCGGGCGGTGTGATTTCTGAAAAGATGAGCATAGTGGCTCCAGGGGTCCCAGGGTGGGCGACGCAGGGCTGTAGAGGCCCCTCATGGGTGCCTCAGTGAGGCGCCCCCCCAGAGGCATTGTTGCGGTCCTCACCTCCCTTCTAGGATGTCCACTCATGGCACCTGAGAAGCAAAAACCCACAGCTGGGAGCCAGGGCTTAGGAGCGATGACGGGGCTCTGGACTCTAGCGTCTCTGGCCACGATGGAGCTGACAGACAAACAGAGGCGAGGCTCGCACTTGAGGGACCCAGGGTGTGGGAGAAAAAGTAGTCACCTGAGGCCCCACCGCTCCTCGCTTTGTGGGGGGCTCAGTGAAGGCAGAGGTGTTGACGAGCCAGCGGGAAAGGGGGTTTGTCCTCATGGAGGAGGGAGCATTTGTCTTTGCTTTGAAGATGATTTTCTTATGGTTACATGCTTGACCTTAATAGAAGGCGTGTGTGTTGTGTGTGCATGTATATGTACGTATGTATGTACATATGTGGGGGTTTTTGTGTATGTGTGTGTATATGTGTGTATATGAAACATGTACTGAAATATGTTTAGGTCCCAAATTTCACTAATGATGGCATACATTTTCAGCGGGTGTTACTATTTCAGAAGAGTTTTTGTTTTCACTTCCCAAGTCTCAGATTTAAATGGTAGTAGCCCATGAGCCATTTATTTGGGCTCTGTAAACATAAGGTCATTGTGTGGCTCAAAGTCAGGCTGATTGGCATTGAGGCTGATTTGGTTTTTTTCTTTTGAGACAGGATCTCGCTCTGTTGTCCATGCTGGAGTGCAGTGGCATGATCACAGCTCACCGCAGCTTCGAACTTCCAGGCTCAAGGGATCCTCCTGCCTCAGCCTCCTGAGTAGCAGATGGGACTACAGGCATGTGTCACCATGCCCTGCTAATTTCTTTTTTTTTTTCATTTTTTTTTTTTTTTCATTTTATTTATTTTTACAGACAGGGTCTCACCACGTTGCCCAGGCTGGTATTGAACTCCTGGCCTCAAGTGATCCTCCCACCTTGGCCTCACAGAGTGCTGGGATTATTATAGGCATGAGCCACCATACCTGATAGCTTCTTTTTGGGTTTTTTTTTTTTTTTGGCAGAGTCTCTCTCTGTCACCTGGCTGGAGTGCAGTGGCGAGATCTCAGCACGCCACAACCTCAGCCTCCTGAGTTCAAGCGATTCACCAGCCTCAGCCTCCCAGGTAGCTGGGATTAGAGGCGCACACCACCATGCTTGCATTTTTTTTTTTTTTTTTTTTTGAGACAGAGTTACCCAGGCTAGAGTGCTGGAGTGCAATGGCACTATCTCGGCTCACTGCAACTTCCGCCTCCTGGGATCAAGCAATTCTCCTGCCTCAGCCTCCAGAGTAGCTGGGACTACAGGCTCGCGCCACCATGCCCAGCTGATTTTTGTATTTTTAGTAGAGACGGGATTTTACCTTGTTGACCAGGATGGTCTCGATCTCTTGACCTCGTGATCCACCCGCCTTGGCCTCCCAAAGTGCTGGGATCACAGGCGTGAGCCACCACGCCCGGCCTTTTTTTTTAAGTAGAGACAGGGTTTCACCATGTTGGCCAGGCTGGTCTCAAACACCTGACCTGAAGTGATCCACCCTCTTGACCTTCCAGGGTGCTGAGATTACAGGCCTTTTGATACTTGTAAAGGTAGTTGTTTGACAAACCAGTCAAATACTTGTCTGGAAGATGCGTCTGCAAAGTCATTGGCCCTTTAAGCGAAGCCTGTTGGCATCAGGGCTGCTTTCCCAGCTCTCCTTGCTTTTCTGCAGGAAACCCTGTTGAAGCACAAGCTGGCTGCCCTGTCAGTTGCATCAGTTTAGGCAGAATAGTGCTTCTGTTGCTAAACAGCCTTTTTCCCATTCGTGAACATTGTGTTGGGGCGGAAACAGTGTATGTTGTGTTTAAATAGGCTTGCTTAAAGGGGCTCAGCAGGTGGTGGTTCCTGTTGGTGCTGCTGACACGCTATTTCCCTCGGCTGCTCTAACCACATTATGAGCTTGTCTGTGCTTTTTTTTTCCCTGAAACGGAGTCTCGCTGTGTCACCCAGGCTGGAGTGCAGTGATGCAGCCTCAGCCCTGCAACCTCTGCCTCCAGGGTTCAAGAGTTTCTCCTGCCTCAGCCTCCCGAGTAGCTAGGATTATGCCACCATGCCTGACTAATTTTTGTGTTTTTAGTAGACAGGGCTTCACCATTTTGGCCAGGCTGGTCTCGAACTTCTCACCTCAAGTGATCCGCCTGCCTCAGCTTCCCTAAGTGTTGGGGTTACAGGTGTGAGCCTCTGTGTCAGGCCCTTGCTTGCGCTTTGATGGAAAGTATTTTATCGTATGTTATCTGAATTGGTAAGGAAGTCGTTTTAGGCTTAGGGTGGAAAGTGCTTTCTCCTTCTCAGGCGTGTTGCCTTTTGTGTGCCTGGCATCTGGGCCTCTGTCACCCTCTTGGTCACAACCAACAGTTGACTTCATTCCTTTAGCCTCTGTTCCATCAATCTCTGTGGTTATGACTGAATGTCACGAATTTTAATTTTAGCATTTTCAGGTTTCCTTCACAGTCTGAGTGGCCCTGGACATAGGTTTGTAGTCATGAATTGCTGCTGTTATGCCACATTTCCTTTCCTTTTTTTTTTTTTTTTTTTTTTCTTAAAGATGGGATTTCACCCTGATGGCCAGGCTGGTCTTGAACTCCCGACCTCAGGTGATCCACCCACCTCGGCCTCCCAAAGTGCTAGAACTACAGGCGTGAGCCACCGCGCCAGGCCTCTTAGAGGAGCTCTTTGTGCACGTGGAAGTGAAGCACTTGGCAGTGTGTGGGGCTGGATTTCCTCATCGTAGGGCTGTTCATGCGGCCGTCCCGTGTGGCTGAGGATGATCAGTGGCGTCCCGAGCCTCTGGATGTCAGTAGCACCCCCATGTTTCACAGCCACAAGTGTTTCCAGACATTGCCACGCATCCCAAGTTGTAATCAAAAAATACAGGAAAGGGGCCAGGCGCAGTGAGCAGGCAGTCTGACCTTTACAAGTCCCTTAGGAATCCTGTGAACTTGGATCCTGCAGAGCGGGGACACTGATCAATGACTAAAACGTTCTCATGAAATCCTCCCCAAATCCACGTCAGTCCGTCCTTTTCTGTTTAAAGTAACAGCCTTGAAACAAGTTAGGATGTTCAGATGTAGCCTGACAGTGGTCAGCTCCGTGTTGATTGCCGTTACCTAGCTTTTGTGTGACTTACTCTGGAGTTCTTATACGTATTTGAGACAAGGTCTTGCTCTATCTTCCTGGCCGGAGCGCAGTGGCATGATCTCAGCTCACTGCAGCCTCTGCCTCCTGGGTTCAAGTGATTCTCCTGCCTCGGCCGGGCGTGGTGGCTCAAGCCTGTAATCCCAGCACTTTGGGAGGCCGAGGCGGGTGGATCACGAGGTCAAGAGATCGAGACCATACTGGTCAACATGGTGAAACCCCGTCTCTACTAAAAATATAAAACATTAGCTGGGCATGGTGGCGCATGCCTGTAATCCCAGCTACTGAGGAGGTTGAGGCAAGAGAATTGCCTGAACCCAGGAGGCGGAGGTTGCGGTGACCCGAGATCGTGCCATTGCACTCCAGCCTGGGCAACAAGAGTGAAACTCGGTCTCAAAAAAAAAAAAAAAATTGGTTCTCCTGCCTCAGCCTATGAGTGGCTGGGATTATAGGCGCCCGCCACGACACCTACCTGATTTTGTATTTTTAGTAGATCCATCTCCATCTCCTGGCCTTGTGATCTGCCCTCTTCAGCCTCCCAAAGTGCTGGGATTACAGGCAGGAGCCACCACACCGGTCCTAGATTAAAAATTTTAAGACCTGTTCTCTAGTATCAGCCAATGAAATTACTCATTTTGTTTCTTTGCCATTTTATGTCCCTTGCTTTTGGAATTTTGTGTCTTAGTCTGACTGTGATTCTTTGTCTGCTTTTGTCTTTCAGCAAACGGGGATTCAGTGTCCGATCCTTTGGAACAGGGACTCACGTGAAGCTTCCAGGACCAGCTCCAGACAAGCCCAATGTTTATGATTTCAAAACCACATATGACCAGATGTACAATGATCTTCTTAGGAAAGACAAAGAACTGTATCCCAGTGGGTTGCCCTTTAAAACCCCCAGGGTGGTCCTCCCTGGAAGGTGTCACGTGTGGCTCGGGCACGGGAGGCTGTCACCTGGGCAGTGCACACACTGGCTCCTCCTCTGTCTTGCGAGAGCTTGGTTGCTAGTCCTGGCGCACATCGGATCGTCCACGGGTTAGTCCCAGTGCCACCCATGGCCTTAGGCGTTGTGAGGCGCGCACGGTGTGAGGTTACCTGTCATGGTGTAAACCAGGGGTGCTTAGGTGAGGAAGCAGAACCCACAAAGTCCCATTGCTTTTCACACTGCAGGCCTGCCCTGTTCTTTCCTTTGCCAGGTAGGGGTGCCTACATGCGTGTATGTGTGCGTGCGTGCGTGCGCGCCCATGTGGTACACGTGGCCCCGGGCTGCTTCACACATCTGATGTCCTTAGAGGGCCGATTTTGCTATCCAGGCTATTAGAAGCAAATAATGGGAGGGAATGGTCCCTCCTCTCAGGAGGACACAGAGCAGAGTGATCTACCGCTAAGGCTCCTGTGAGGAGGACGGATTCTTTTTTCCTTTTTTTTTTTTTGAGACGGAGTTTCATTCTTGTTGCTCGAGCTGGAGTGCAATGGTGCGATCTCAGCTCACTGCAACCACCACCTCCCAGGTTCAAGTGATTCTCCTGCCTCAGCCTCCCTAGTAGCTGAGATTACAGGCGCCCACCACCATGCCCAGCTAATTTTTTGTATTTTTAGTAGAGATGGGGTTTCACTGTGTTGGCTGGGCTAGTCTCAAACTCTTGGCTTTGTGATCCACCGCCTCAGCCTCCCAAAGTGCTGGGATTACAGGCATGAGCCACCGCACCTGACTCCCTTTTTAAATTTTTTTGGTGGAGTCTCGCTCTGTCACCAGACTGGAGTGAAATGGTGTGGTCTCGGCTCCCCGGCTCACTGCAAACTCCGATTCACAGGTTCAAGTGATTTTCCTGCCTCAGCCTCCCGAGTACCTGGGACTAAAGGCACCTGCCTCCACACCCAGCTAATTTCTATATTTTTAGTAGAGATGGGGTTTCATCATATTGGCCAGGGTGGTCTCGATCTCTTGATCTCGTTATCTGCCCGCCTCGGCCTTCCAGACTGCTGGGATTATAGGTGTGAGCCACCGTGCTGGCCGAGAAGAGTATTCTTAAGGTAGATTCTGATGGATGCAACGCCAGTTGCACAGTGGTTATGATAATCAGTGCCCAGGTTTTTGACCAGGCATTTTGTGGTCACCCCACACTAATGGGTAGTTTCTGCATCTCTTATTACAGCGAGTGATTTGTGGTTGTCAGAACAGGCCAAACGTATTCCAAAGGAAAGGAAGATAGACATCCAGTGGGAATGCTGTTGTCTTCATATCGGCCCTCTCGCCATCCCTGCCCTCACCCCCCAGCAGAGTCTCACCCTGTCCCCAGGCTGGAGTGCAGGGGCACGCTCCGTCACAGCCTCGACCTCCTGGTCCAATTGGTCCTTGCGCCTCAGCCTCTCCAGGAGCTGGGACTTTGGGTGCACACCCACACGCCAGGCTTTGTTTCTTTTTTTTTTTTTTTTTTTTTTTTTTTGAGACGGAATTTCACTCTTGTTACCCAGGCTGGAGTGCAATGGAGCGATCTCGGCTCACCGCAGCCTCCGCCTCCTGGGTTCAGGCAATTCTCCTGCCTCAGCCTCCCGAGTAGCTGGGATTACAGGCACGCGCCACCATGCCCAGCTAATTTTTGTATTTTTAGTAGAGACGGGGTTTCACCATGTTGACCAGGATGGTCTCGATCTCTTGACCTCGTGATCCACCCGGCTCGGCCTCCCAAAGTGCTGGGATTACAGGCATGAGCCACTGCACCCGGCCGACACATGGTTTTACCATGTTGGTGAGGCTGGTCTCGAACTCCTGACCTCAGGTGATCCATCATGCCCAGCCCTATTTTTGCAATTTTTAATAAGCTAAAAAAAGCTTTTGTACACAGATTAATTGGGGTCACTGGAAATGGACCCTGAAGGTCTTTCTAGCAAAACCTAGAACTGGGTCCTGGATGACACCACCTTCGCCCCCCCCCCCCCCGCTGTCTCCTCTGCCAGTTACAGTTAAAAGGTAGTGGGTGAGTACGCCGGAAAGTCCTGGGCGTCTCCTGTCAGCTCCCAGCCCGCCTGCCTGCTGCAACAGAGGGTATGGTCCTGGTGGGGTGGGGGGCATCCAGGCAGCAGGCAGGCTCTCACTGTGGGTTACTGTGCGTCCCGGGGGTCATCAGCAGCACATCCTGCTGCCCCTATCCGCAGAAGCCCTGGTAACCTGCGTCTGGAAAAACCTCCCTGAGAATCTCTGAGGGGCTCAGTAGGCCATGTCCTGGTCCGCCCGTGTTACACACGGCTGAGACGTGGTCGCTTCCGCCGTGGGCTGAGAAGGACCGGGACGGTGGGGTCGTGCCTCAGAAAGGGGGCCCTCCTGATAGGCCTTTGTTCGAGCTCCCTGTCTGTGCTGTGTCTTCACCCCGACCACAGAACCTCTTCCAAGAGTCTCATTTAGGGGCTGGGTCCTTCCCATTGCCCTGGAGAAGGCTTTGGTTTTGGCTTTCATCTCATTATTCATATTAAACTGTGCCATGAAGCTTATCCTGAGATCCCGTCTTTGAAAATTACTCTTCAGTTAGCACTGTTCCTTTTTAAATTCTTGTATTCAGTAAGAGAAAGAAAAGCTAGGAATGCACAAGCTCACACTGGAGTAGTGCAGGCTCAGCCCCTCTGTGTCGCCCCACTGTGGCCTCCCAGGCTCTGGACGTGGGAGCGAGTCCAGCTTCAGCATTCTCATCCAGAAGGACTTGGTGTAAGAGAGGATGAGCCTGTCTCCGGTAATTCTAGAAGGAGCTGAGCCCGGTGTCCCAAAATTCAGAAGCTCCTCCTCTATAGAGGGACCACAGGGGTCAGGAGTCTCCCAGGAAGCATCCCACCCAGAAGAGCCCTGTGTGCCTGCGCGTGCTCTCGTGTGGTGGGGGGAAGGGTGGCAGCATGGGTGCTGTGTGTCACCGACAGGCTGTGCCCTGGGGACCTCGTGTGGGAATGGCATCGCCTGTGGTGGCCCCTCAGGAGGCACTGGGAGGAGGGTGCCTTCATGGCCTTGCTTATTTCACTTGGGGGCAAAGGAGCAGAATGGTGTACCTGCCACTTGGCGAAGCTCTTGCAGGTGCTGCCCTTGCCTGGAAAGGAGCAAAGTCCCAGGTAGTTCCCTGTGGACACTGGCACGAGGCCAGGTGGGGCGTGTTCCCTAAGCAGGGATCGAGGTGAGGAAGGTGGGGTGGGCCCTCTCGGGGGTGTTCAGATGTGCATGTCAGGGGGCCTCCGACAACGTTACCTGGTTGGCGGGGGCAGGGGGCCTGCATGAAGTGACTCATGCAGATGAGAGCCCAAAACCAGATCTGTCCCAGCGGCCGGTGTGTCTGCACAAGTGACGGCTGTAAAGGAGGAGGGTATTTAAGATGTCAGGCAGAGAGAAAATGCAGCATTTGGTAAAGTATTTAAGATTTCAAGGGAAAGGACGATGTGACTTGGGAGGAAAATGTGGCTTATTCAGAGGCAGAGCCGGGGTTGAGGGGACCCACCAACTCTGCCATCCGTGGCCAGGGCCTAGGTTTCTCTGTGCGTACCCACCTCACAGGATTTCTGATAATTAAATAAATTAGAACATGCAAACACCGAGCCTGAAACCTAGTGTTTTTAAAGCCCTCAATAAATTTTGGCCCATTAGTATTGAAATATTTAATTTCCTTTTTTTTTAAATTTGTCTCGAACTCCTGGCCCCAAGTGACCCTCCCACCCTGCCTTCTAAAGTAATTGGATTATAGGTGTGAGCAACTGTTCCCAGCTTTATTGTTATTTTTTATTTTTTTTGGTTGAGACGGAGTCTCGTTCTGTCACCCAGGCTGGAGTGCAGTGGCGCAATCTCAGCTCACTGCAACGTCCACTCCTGAGTTGAAGCAGTTACCCTGCCTCAGCCTCCCGAGCAGCTGGGACTACAGGCACGCATCACCACACCCAGCTAATTTTTGTATTTTTGGTAGAGATGGCGTTTCACCGTGTTGGCCAGGATGGTCTCCATCTTGATCTTGTGATCCGCCCGCCTTGGCCTCCCAAAATGCTCAGATTGTAGGCATGAGCCACCATGACCGGCTGCTTTAATTTCTTTATTTTTATTTTTATTATTAATTTTTTTTTTTTTTTTGAGACTGAGTCTCAGCCACCCACGCTGGAGTGCAGTGGCGGGATCTCGCCTCACTGCAGCCTCCGCCTCCCAGGTTCAATCGATTCTCCTGCCTTAGCCTCCTGAGTAGCTGGAACTGTGCTACCTCACGCAGCTAATTTTTTGTATTTTTAGTAGAGACGGGGTTTCGCCATGATGGCCAGGATGATCTCGATCTCCTGACCTTGTGATCCGCCTGCCTCCCAAAGTCGTGGGATCACAGGCATGAGCCACCGCACCTGGCTGCTTTAATTTCTTAAATACAAATTCTCCTAGACTTTCCATGAGGTTACCTGCTGGTAAACCCATTCTAAAAAAGTCCTACATTGAGCCATCGTAAGTTAGAGACTGTCCGTATTTGTCTATAGATGGCTGATATTGATTTTTTTCGCCAGAAGCCAGAAGTGAGTCTTAGGGGTTGAGAAACTCACTGCCTGTGACACCTCCCTTGGGGATTTTTGATGGCAGTAAGCCTAAGTTTGCCATGTTGAGATTCGAACCTTAGACCAGGCCGGGTGCGGGGGTCCACGCCTGCAATCCCAACATGGGGAGGCCGAGGCCAGAGGATCACTTGAACCCCGGAGTCAGATGCCAGCCTGGGCAACGTAGCGAGGCTCTGCCTCTACCAAACGTAGATGAGCTGGGTGTGGTGGCGCGCTTCTGTGGTCTCAGCTACTCCTCCAAGGCAGGAGGATCACTTGAGCCCTGGAGGCTTCATTGAGCTGTGATTGCACCGTTGCACTCCAGCCTGAGCAAGA